CATACCACTGCACCTAGCTAATTTAAAAAAATTTTTTAAAGATGAAGCCTCACTATATTGCCAAGGCCAGTCTGGAACTCCTGGGCTCAAAGGATCCACCCACCTTGGCCTCCCAAAATGCTAGGATTACAGATGTGAGCCACTGTGCCCGGCTTCCGCTTTCTTCATAGCACTTAACACCATCTGCTTGTCCTGTCCATGAATTTTATTTGTTTCAATGTCTGTTTCCCTCTTCTGGAATGTAAGCTTCTGAGTGTAATGGAGGAGCAAGGGCTTTGTTCACCAATGTATTTCCAGTGTTAGAACAGTGCCTTGCACACTGTGTGTCTTCAATAAAGATATGGTCAATAAATCAATTTCTTTAATCCTATACCTCTGTTTTATGGATGAGGGAGTTAAGGATCACAAAGGGGAAGTGACTGGCAAGAAGTCACATAGCTAGTGGTAGTGATGCGACTTGAATTCGGGTCTCCAGCCTCCCAGGCTGGTTCTCCCACTCCACACTATTTTAATCTTTCACAGATTTACCTCTTTCCCTCTCTTCCTTTTTTCCCATATGACTAATAGTCTTTACGGGCTATGCTAAGATGGGCACACCAAGTCTTAACAGCTCCAACCTACTCTTTTCCTCCATCAAAGTCCTATCTTAACGTTTGATTTGTTCAACAGTACAGGAATGCCTACTATGTGATGGGATGATGATGCAACACTGAGCAAGACAGAAACAATCCTTGCCTTGGTGGAGATGATATCTACTTCATAGGATTTATAGTGCTTGGCATACAATGCTCATAAAGAACAGCTGTTATAACTCACTACAAAAAAGTGATTTTCCCACTGAAGGTGTAGAGAAGGAAGTTGCGTGGTTCTCACAGAACACCCACTTCCCTGGAGAAACTGACAATTCATTTCTCTCTGTAGCTGCCTTGCCGTGCTCCTGCCTCCACTTCTGGAGGTGGCCTTGGCCCTAGACTGGGCAGAGGACCGGCCCAGTGTACCTACTCTCAGCAGTTTAGTTTCTAGACGCTACACTTTCCATGGCCCCAGTCCTATGGAATTGGAGTAGCTGATCCTAATCTGGGATGCTGGCTCTGATGTCATGCCATTGTGGGGCCAAAGTGACCATACTGGCCTCTGATGAAAAGCAGCTATGCTTTACCAGAACTTTATGCTACTTCTTTTTGCTGTGGATAAAAAGGCATTCACGGCCGGGCACGGTGGCTCAAGCCTGTAATCCCAGCACTTTGGGAGGCCGAGACGGGCGGATCACGAGGTCAGGAGATCGAGACCATCCTGGCTAACACGGTGAAACCCCATCTCTACTAAAAAAATACAAAAACTAGCCGGGCGAGGTGGGGGGCGCCTGTAGTCCCAGCTACTTGGGAGGCTGAGGCAGGAGAATGGCGTAAACCCGGGAGGCAGAGCTTGCAGTGAGCTGAGATCCGGCCACTGCACTCCAGCCTGGGCGACAGAGCGAGACTCCGTCTCACAAAAAAAAAAAAAAAAAAAAAAAGGCATTTATTGGCAGTTTCCAAGGATGCTGGGTGACATTTACATCCATCCTGACACTTGAGGTGACACCAGTCAGGTGTCATTTACCGAAAGCATCCTTTTTGGCCTCTGCCTGATCACTTGAAGATGCCCATCCACCCAAGGACAAAGACTCTGCCTTGCCTGCAACTGCAGGAGCCAAACACTCATCATTTAAAGCCCATGGTCACTAGATATTTTTCACCCTTCCTTCAGTGTTTGCCTTTCAATAGTTAGAAAACCTTGACCCCACTGAGAGGCCTAGTGGGAAGGCCTTAGCCACTTGGGGGTGGCAGTGGCTGCAAGGCAAAAGAGCCAATGAGGTTTAGAGTATTGTTTAGGCTGGACTTGGCTGCTCTCCAGCTATGAAAGAAGGTTAAGGTCATTTGGGGGGTGGGGAGGGAGGAGCCTGGGAAAAGAACTACTGGCCACACCCCTGGGTTCTCTGCTGGCTAGGTTCTATTTACTTCTCAAAAGCAAATTACTCACAGCTCACTGGCCAGCAGTTCTCTTGGCCATGGTAACTCCAGTCAGAAACTGGAACCAGGCTAGGCTCTCCCTGCATTGCAGGAGAGCAGATGAAAGGAACCCAGGAAACCGAACTCCTAGGTAATGCTCCACACACAGTCCAGATATGCACTTTCTAGACTAGCAAACGGAGCTTGAGACCCAGAACAAAAATAGCCATTAGCAATATTGCTTACCAAAATTGTAGATATGAAAAACTTCCCATTTAACTTTTTCTAGAAGAGTCCTAGGAAGGCATCTTGGTTGACAAAGGTTTTCCTTTCTCAATTGAGAAATACTAATTATTCAAATCCTGTTCCTGACCCAAATATTAACAGCCACACTTAGTCTGATGAACATTTGATTGAAATTCTTAGGACAATTTTACCTTGTGTTAAAGACAATAAAAACAAATCTTGCTTGCTGAGCTCCACAGCTAGATCCCTTACTCCTGGTTGGGTTCTCATCCAGAAAGGATGGACATCCAGAAAGACAGGACATTTTAGCTTTGGCATGTTCAAAGTAAACTTCCAAGCAGGGATGACAAGAAAGAAGGTAGTGTGGCATATTAAGAAAAGCATGATCCTTGGAGTCAGGTGGAACTTGCTTGGTGTATGAACTTAGTCTTTCACTTTTCTTAGCCTCTTTCTTCAGCTGTAAAATGGGAGCCACATACTGACTTCACAGGCACAGGATTGTTGTAGGATTGTGATGTGTTATGTCCAGAATATAAGTAGGTACACAATAGAAAACTGTTGTTTGTTTCAGATTTCACTTCTAAGTGTCCACAGTAATAGCATTTTTTCTCTCACTGCTTCTGATTTCTCCTGAGGAACTTGAGGTTTCTCAGTTTCCCTAAGGAAGGGGGTGAACAGAGAAACTATACATTGTGACATTAGCCTCATAAAAGCAACTGCATCTAGCCAACATTGACAGTATCATTCAACTACTAAAGTAGATGCTATGTGCCAGGCTGTATGTTAGCACAGGGATGCACCAGAGAACAAAATAACCCTCCCACCACCCTCAATTTACATTTCAGTGGAAGGTGACAGTAAGTATAACTTGTAATAGGCCAGATGGTAACAAGTGCCACAGGAAAAATTAGGCAGACAAGGGAAATGTAGTGGGGGGGCAGAGATTGCTATTCTAAGTAAGGTGACCAGGAAAAGTCTTACTTATGTATTTGGACAAAGACTTGAAGCAGCTGAGGACTCGAGCCACGCAGTTATTTGGAGAGAGTAGAAAGTACAAAGACTCCAAGGTGGAAACATCTCTGTACAGTGGGGTGAGCAACGGGCAAGACGGATGGTGCAGGAAAGGTAGAGGTAAGCTAGATAACTCAGGGCCTTGTAGGCCACTTTGAGTCTGGATTTTTACTTACTCAGAGCCAGAAGCACTGAAGGCGTTTTATCTGACTTACCTTTTGTAGGGGTCCTTTTGGTTGTTCTGTTGAGAATAGATTCAGCCAGGCAAAGCAGAAGCAGGGAGGCCAATTTGGAGGTATTTCAAGAATCCAAGATATAACAGTGTCTTGAACTACAGTAGTAGTGCGGGATTGAGGATTACTTTATGAAGAGTGCTAACAGATTGGATGTGGAAGTGAAAGAAGTCAAGGATTTTTTTGGCAAGTGATAGAATGGAGTTGCCATTTACTGAAAGGAAAACACAAAAAACCAAAACTATGGTAGAAGCAGGTTTCTAGTGGGGGAAGACAGGACATTTTAGCTTTGGCATGTTCAAAGTAAACTTCCAAGCAGGGATGACAAGAAGATGGCTGAATGCTCTAGTCTGGAGTCAGGGAAAAGAGCCAGTCCAGAGATATTACAAGTGATTAAGTTGGAGGTTGCCTCCAGATAAATGGTTGTCTTATTTTGGACAGATGCCACTATTTAGGGGAGATCTCACACTAAGGGAGGTTTGCAAAAACAGGACTACCTCCTACCCCCCCGACAAAGGTCAAGTTTTAGTTTGAAAATAAAAAGCTTCACAAAAGTCTTACCAAGATTTAATGTACATTTATTCTTAACACGTGGAACATATAGTATAAAGATTTCATACTGAATAAATGATATTCATTAAGCCAAAAAAGGAAAAAAAGGAGGAATTTACATCAAGTTTT